TGATAAAATTGTCACTTTTTTTAAAAAAAATGACAATTTTTATAAAAAAAAGTGACATTATGTCACTTTTTCATTTTACACAGTATTTTTTACTTCTTAAAAACCATTTATATGATTTTTCAAAATATCCCTAATTTTAAGGGTATTTTTTTAAGTAACCCAAATTACTCCCACCCCTAGTTTTAAACTATACAATTCAAAATTCAGATTTAAAAGTTTTCTTTTCAAAAATCAGATATAAATAAAATTTCAAACATTAATAATATTATTATAAATATTGAATTATTCTACATATTCAGCCCACCATTTTCTACCCTAACTAAACGCTAATTATTTCCCTATCTTCTTTCTCTCTTCCCCAACCTCCCTCCACCGGGTGTATCACTATTGGTGCCGGTGCCGACGGCGTCGGGTTCCAATCTTAATCGGAGTTGTTGCTAGAGAAGTCGCCGTAATCGAAGTAGTCATCGGAATGGTCGCCGTAGAAGTCGTCGGAGCGGTCGCCGAAGTAGTAGGGGTGGTGGAGGTGGGGGTGGGTTACTTATNTTTATTTATTTATATCTTTTTATATATTTATATGTATAAATAAATATTTATATATGTGTGTATCTATAGGTCAAAATTTCTGATTTTTGAAATGTGAAAATTGTTTTGTTATTTTTGAAATAGGGTAAATATAAAGTAGGAGAAATGAATTTTTCCCTACTTAAAAACTTCTTTTCCCTACTTAAAAACTTGATTTATGTATTGTTCCCTATTTTTAAAGTAATTGGGCTTGGACAGAAGTGGGCTACAGCCTAATGTCTCGACGGAGGCCAGATAGGAAAATGGAAGTGCCTGCGCAAGGTATTGGACTGGAGACTGATTGAATTCTACTAAGTCGTTTTCTTGAGAACCCATGAGTCGCTAACGCGACTTTAAGATTAGCTGCTTCTTTTTTTCCCCTTCAATTACGACCTAAGAATTCTTCTTCTTCAGTTTTTATTTTTGCCCAGTAATAATCCAAGAGTTAAATTGGTCAAAAAACTTGTATCGAGTGTCATAATTGTAACGATCTAATTTATTTTATATCGAGGTTACAAATGGTAAACATACACCCATTTTGGAGAGCCTTGTTTCAGACGGGAGGCGACTAAAGAAAATTATAAAAAATGAATTGTAGTGGATGTTAATTCTAAAGAGAGACGAAATATATCGACTTTTATCTTACATTGCTCGCAAAAGGCATGCCTTATGGGTTATTTAGACGCTCAACTCGTTACAGGACGGTTTTGGGGGTGAGTTTTGTCAAATTAATTGTTATAATCTACGCCATTTCTTTTTTGATTTTTAAGGCTTTGTTACATAATTTGAAAATTTGAAAGTGTCGTGCCTTTTATTGACTTTAAAACCAAGTTCAACAAAATAAATTTCTACTTATATCAAACTCAAATATTAATTTCAATCTCACACAGTCACACTCATGAATCATGATCACTACTCCTTTTATTTACACATTTTGTGGAATCCACTATTATTTCTTGTAATAAATCATCTATAAATTTCCCCCCTTTTTTTTCTTTTTCGCATTTATTATTTAATAAGTATCACTTTTAGTATGGTCTGTTTTGTCTTATCAAATGCACAACAATATAACATTTATGACATGATTGTTAGCAGTAGCACCTGCTCAAAATGACTCAATAGTATAATGAAACAGATAATTTATTTTTCTTCATGAATTTAATACTATCCAATCCTTGTTACACAGTAATGGCATGCTCTAAATATATTAGGTAAAACTGCACACAGTCACATAGTAGAGTTGGAAAAACATACAAATATTCTCATCACACTGAGAGAAATAGATCCCAAAGGGATGGTTTCTATACAGTACTCTAAACTAATACATAAATAATCAAATTTTGAAATGTTTTAGCAGCTATATAATGAACTTTCTGCTAGTTTATGACCCATCCCTTCTTTCAAGCAATCAATTGGAGGTATAGTTAATGTCTCTTGAGTACCATACGCGTTCCAGCAGAAAGGATCGTCTACTAGTACGCCTTCGTATGGCAGAAGTTCGACCTCTGACATTGTGATATTCGTGCAGGCGACGCTGTCACTGCAGGCAAAGTGTATCGGAGGACTTCTTACATCATAAGTACCTTTGATATTCCTATATGTCACGTCTGATAGGTACACGGCTGATGTCTGGTTCCTGCAAGCCTTTGATAAGCAGTAGTATTGATCGATGATGATGCTGTTTCGTACGTTGTCCATCTGAATGTTCTCGAATGATATGCCGGTTACTGATCCCGTCCCTCCCTGCCACGTCTTGATCCTCAGTCCGTTGTCTGAGTCTTTTAGGATGGCGTTCCTGACTGTTATGTTAGAAACACATGCACGGGAATTGTGCACTCCTAGGCTTCCAATGCTGCAGATAAACAAATATTTGAGTCGGGCCTTGTGAAAGTGATTAAGCTTTCAGACGAGGTACTATAGAGTCGTTCTAGTATTTTAGAAAGTGTGAAGAAACAGCGTACCTGATCCCATGACTAGGCCCACAAGTGACAGCTTCAATGTCGACATTTGAACAACCAGGTCCTATCGAAATGCAATCATCACCTGTTTTATTCTTAAACATTGTTAAATACTAATCACGTAACTAAATTTGAAGTTGTACATAAATCATAGGACAGGTTTGTTACCATTGCCTATCACTGAGTTGTATATTCCCACAGACTTTGTGTTTTCGATGTGAATTCCGTCTGTGTTGGGACTCAGCTTTGGCGAAGAGATAGACAGTTTATCAATGAGCACTCCTTCGCAGCCATCGAATTTCATGTGGAACTGAGGACTATTTTGGATACGCAACCCAGAAACGACCAAATTCGAGCTCATAAAGAAACGAATAAGCTGCAAAAAATTACGATCGGGTTTATTAGTATTCACTACTCGAAAATTTGTTTAATGGGAAAAAAATCAGTCGGGATTGGACGATTTTACCCACCGCAGGGCTGTTACATGGTCCGGGCAATGTTGATCCATTAGGACCCTGAAAATGACATTTTCACGTTAATGTTTAGCTATAAGACAGAAAGAACTGAAATATTGTGTAATGCCATTAAACTAAAGATTATACCCTGTGAGGTTTGCAGGGCAGTTCCCACCAATCTTTGCCGTTGCCTTCAATGGTTCCGGTACCGGTAAAAGTCATTTGATCGAGTCGATAAAACACTAGCCATTGCTTGTTACTATCGGATTTTGGCCAGCAATCCGGGCCATTTGGCGGCATTAAGACTCCGTCCACCTTTACGCGTTCAAAGCTCGAAATCATTAGCAAATTAAGAGAAGAATGCTTGAATGAATTCATGATTTACAATGAGAAGAAAGAGAGAAAAAGTTTGATATTTACTTGAAAAACAAGTCCTGGCTTGCAAGGACCGGAGAAAATCGTCGAAGTGATCATGAAAACATGGTCTACCGGTGCCAAAACGATGCCTGATTCCACTTGACAGGCTGCCTTCCAAGCGGCCGTGAATGCAGCAGTGTCATCCGTCTCACCATCTCCCACTGCCCCGTAAGATGTCACGTCGAAAATGCAGTTTCTGCTCGAATTTGTGGGATCATTCGGGTCTGAAGGAACCGGGGGAGAATAGTTAGGAGATTGAGAAATGGGGCCTTCAGGGCTTGGAGCATAGGCAGGGGACCCTTTACTTGCATTTTTTTTCTTATGTTTCTTGGTTACGTGATGCCTTCCTTCGACATTGCTCGATTTTTGCAACAACAAAATCGTCGCAATCCATAAAAATAGTAAGCCGCGATGAATTTCCATTCTCGAAGTCTAATTCAAGAAACAAAACGTGAAGGCCTAGTGCAAGTTTAGCAGCTGCTGAGAAATGGCAAGTTACACATTGAATTTATGCTTAGAACTCTCAGCAGTTGATGGACAAAGATTTGGTGCAAGAAATTGACACGTGTTAAGTTGAGGTTGATTTCAAAAAGGGTTTTTTTCTGCTGCAAATTTGGCAGGAGATTCTCTCCCACTATTTTTTTTTTTTTTTAAATTGTGAATTTTCTTTCAAAGATGTGTACACTTTTGGATTTGTTTGGTAGGCAAAAGATGTACTTTTCACACCATTAAATGTTTCTTATAGCAACACACTTGTGAGCTCCTTTGAGGTCCTGTTGTTCTAGAAAAATGTGCCAGAACCCACTGCGGGATTACGAGTTGGAATTAGACTAACAAACTATGGGCCTGTTTGGTACAGATTCTCATTTTCTACAGTAAATCAATTCTCATTTTCAACCACACATTTTTCAATAAAATAATATTTTCCATCACGTCAATACTTTTTTTTTTAATTTTAAACCACACATTTCCCATAATATCACATTTAAAAAAAAATTCATANATCACTATTCAAAAATCAATTCTTCCTCCAAAAACCCCTACCAAACACACTCTATAAACGTCGAGAAAAAAGTAGGGATAACAAAAGATGTATTTTTGAATAGCTATTTTCAGAGAATGTGCGGTTAAAAATTAAGAAATTTTTTTCGATTTACGTGAAATATTATTTAATTGAAAAATGTGTGGTTAAAAATGAATTTTCATAAAAAATGGCTCAAAACAAAAAATTAATTGGATTTATTTTATTTTAAAAGCAAACGAATCTCGTGATTATTTATTGTTGTGTAGTGATTTGTGGCCCAAAAAAGTGTGGAACTTGTAGTAGGTACACGACAATAGAATTTCAAATTCATTCACGGGTAGGGTAAGGGTAGTAGAGTGCTTTATTCTTATATACTCGTTCTTTAAAAAATTTACCATATCAATTACGTCACTCTTACGAATATGAACTTTTTAGGTCGATAAAAAATATGATCCAACCAAGTTATTATTCTTAAATTACTACCATTAGCGCCATGTCTACTTGGTGGTTTATGTTATCGTTTGTATTTTATCCATTTCGGAATGACTTTACATCCATTTTTTGTTAAGGTTCGTTCTACGTAAAAAAAAAAGATGAATAAATAAATAATATAAAAAATGTATTTCATTTCTCTTTTACAGATGGAGCTTTGAAACTTAATATGATTCATGTTATCAAATCGGTATGCTTAAACGAGCAATTGGAATTCAAGATCAACGTTCTCAAATGAACTATAATTTTATGAAAAATGCTAGATGTACATCACCTCACATGGAGGGGCCCACTCGAATAAAATTATCTAGTGGGCCCCTTCCCCATGTGAGGCCCAATGTACCTCTAGCAGTGCTCATAATTTTATAGATGACAAGGGTAAATGTAAATCTTGCTATAAACTTACATTTTAGCTCTTGTTTGGTGTTCATTTTTTTGAAAAAAAATATTGTTTGGAATAGTTATTTTTTGGAAAATATGAGGTTAAAAAATAGAAAAATTTTATGTTTATATGCAGAATATTTTATTGCGTGAATATATAATGAAAAATGAGTATGCAAAAAAAAAAGTTTTAAAATAATGAAAGATGAACAGGACTTAACCTTGTTAGAATCTTATTAAAATCAACATTAAGAGTATGTTTGATTAGCTTTATTTTTAATGAAAAATGTCATTTTTCACCCAAATTTATATTTTTAGGATATTTGATTGACAATATTTTCATGTAAAATATTTTCTTTAGAGATGGGTGAATTTTATTTTGCAAGTAATTCACTTTCTCTTTCTCTCTTTCATCTATTTCATTTCTCGTATATCCACTAATAAAGAATGTATATGTATAATATTTTTTTAAATTGAAAACTAAATCAACAAAATATAATTAATTGATAATTTTCATACAAATAAGTTTTAATCAATTGTTTAGAATTTTTTTTATGTAAATTTCATGCTCGCAGTGTATTCCAAATTTAATAAAATATTTCGCTGGACCCACATTTCAAAATGGACTCGTGGATGATTTGCATGACATGACAAAATATTCACATGCCACTATCAAGGCACACACCTCTTGTCAAACACAAAAAAAGAACGCTAGAGATGAATGAATGAATGAGAGACACGTGTCTTGGAGTAATCACGGGGTGTTGGTCTTTTACTTGTCACGGGCAATTGCAATTTAGAATTAATCAAGTGTTGATTATTTAGCCCTTTGCTCCATTTTAATGAAAATTTGGACGAAAATGAGTTTTGAAATAATTATTTTTTCCATTTTTTGATGAATTAATCCTTCTGTACAGCACTCTCACAGCCCACCACAATAAAAAAGTAAAAATAGAATAAAATTACTCATCCACCATGTGAGTTGTCGATCATGTACATGCATCATGAGTTTTTTCGATTTCTTACTCATAATTAGATTGATTTACAAAATGGTCAAAACTTTACGTGACAATTTTCTAGTAAATTTCATATGAGGTTATGATTATACCCCTATTTGGTGCACATTTTGAGTCCCAAAATGCCTTTTTTGTTTGATGTAATGTAGAATATGTGGTTGAAAAAGAA